GAGCATGCAACCCAGATCCCTCGCATGCGCAGTTCACAGTAGGGTTCATATTCCTATGGAAATTTAATGCTGCTGATCTGACAGGAGGTGGCGCTCAGGCACAATGCAAGTGATGGGGAGCTGCTGTAAATACACATGAAGCTTTGCTCACTCACTCTACGCTTACCTCTTGCTTTGTGGCCCAGGTCCCAACAGGCCAGGGACCAGACCCCTGCTATAGATGATCTTAACAAGGTCTTTACAGGGTACAAGTGAACCTAACATTTGCCACCATCCCTTCGGGACAAAGGGAGGAATAGGCCTTAGGTCCAGAGCCTAACAGAGGTTAACAACTTTTTAAATTTTAATTGTTTTAATATATCCACCTTGCTTATTGCAGTAATATCAAGTTTCCATTCTGGAATTATCAAGTTTCTGCTTCAGGCCAGGCATGGTGGTCTGCACTTTGGGAGACCGAGGTGGGAGGATCACGTGAGGCCAGGAGTTTGAGACCAGCCTGGGCACGTGGTGAAACTCTACCTCTATAAAAAAAATACAAAAATTAGCCAGGTGTGGTAGCATGCACCTGTAGTTACAGCTATTTGGGAGGCTGAGGGGGAGCCCAGGGAGGTCAAGGCTGAAGAGCCAAGATCACATCGCTGCACTCCAGCCTGAGTGACAAAATAAGACCCCGTCTCAAAAGAAAAAAAAAAAAAGAAAGAAAAAGAAAAAAAAAAAGGAAAAAGAAACAGGTCACTCTGGCCCATGCTTCTCTTTTCAGGCAGTGGCAGGGGATGTACACATTCCATCTGTGTTCCTGCAGATGCCCACTGTGCACTGCACACTGCCTGAGGGGAGAAGGACTGGTTCCCAGCCAGCCTGCAGAACCCAGTTCCCACGCCCTCCACTTCAATGCCCTTTTCTTTTCTTTTTTTTTGAGACGGAGTCTTGCTCTGTTGCCCAGGTTGGAGTGCAGTGGCACAATCTTGGCTCACCACAACCTCTGCCTCCTGGGTTCAAGTGATTCTTGTGCCTCAGCCTCCAAGCAGCTGGAACTACAGGCCCACGCCACCACGCCCGGCTAATTTTCGTATTTTTAGTAGAGACAGGGTTTCACCATATTGGCCAGGCTCCCATCGTGCTGGGATTATAGGCGTGAGCCACTGTGCCCAGCCAGATGCACTTTTCTTCAATTCCCTCCTGTGTCAAACAGAGATAACCACGAATATACCTCATAGGGCAGTAGTGAAAAATTCAGCCAACTCCTATACATTCCTCAGAAAAGGATATGGACAGGCTCAATGAATGTTAGCTATTTGTTCTTTTCCTTTGTTGCTTAAGAGGCAATTCAGCAAGTTTATGCAGGAGTCCCATCTCCCTCCTTTGCAGATAGGCCCCTTTCCTTTATGCCCCAGAAGAAAAGGGAGCTCTTTAAGTGGTGCTATGGATTTCCAAGGTCAAAGGTGAAGGAAGAGTAATATAAAGAGTTTCTCAGTAGGAGGAAAGGAGTGGGGGACTCTACTCCCACCACCCTGGCCAGGCCAGGAAATTCCTTGTGGCCCTCAAGATCTTTACCCAAAAACAGTTTTGTTGAATTTCACCCTGGCAATGTAAATTGATAGGTGATCTTCACAGGTGCAGGACAGAAAGTCATCTCTCAGCTCACCTGAGACAAAAATACATATCCGGTTGCTCTCTCTGCCCTAAAGTTTACGTAAAAATGCAGATTTGGCCACTGGTCACGCCTGTAGTCCCAGCATTTTGGGAGGCTGAGGCGGGTGAATCACCTGAGGTCAGGAATTTGAGACCAGCCTGACCAACATGGTGAAACCCTGTCTCTACTAAAAATACAAAAATTAGCTGGGCGTGGTGGCGGGCGCCTGCAATCCCAGGGTAGTCGGAGGCTGAGAAGAGAATTGCGGCATGAACCCAGCGAGGTGAAGTTGCCAGGCCGAGCTGGGAGATCACGCCATTGCACTCCAGGCGCTGCAGCGGACAGAGCGAGACTGTTAAAAACCAAACAAAAAACCAAACAAAAAAACAAGCAGATTCATGGAGTCGGGCTTGAGGGATAAGAACCTATTCCTCTATCTTGCCGCGTGTTCCCATGTAAATCGGTTGGTATTCAGTGAAAAGGCTGAACACAAGACTCGAAAGAACGCAATCTACCTGGTTTTGACGCATATTACACGTACTC